CAGAAACCTGAAGAGGATCAGAACCCAGAAGTGCTTTTAACTTTCACTGGCAGACGTATAGCTGACTCAAACACCAACTGTCTGCCTCTGGAATAAAAGTGTTTCACTTTTGTTGGATCAGAACATAATTGAGCAGAGTGTGGGAACATGTGACCCACCAGCTTTTTCTTAGTTCTTCTCACCATAAATAGTGAATTCCTAGTGAATAGTGAATAGTGAATTTTATTCATATAATTAATTAAATCATTTTTAATAGAGGAAAAAATATTCAACACACATGAACAAAAAAATAAGTACAGAATTCAAATGATATGAGACATGGCAGCAGCTCCACCTAGGAGCCCAGAGCGTTACTGCAAGAAAACACATTTATTTTTTTAAGAAAGATGCAGTTGTATCATTGTTAATTACAATGGAAGCCAGCTCATGTGATGGCAGGCACTCTGTTGACAAATACCTGCCCTTTGCTCTCAAGAATGCAAAACATTTTAAGAACAGGTTTCTGCAATACAAGGTTTTGACATTTAAGGGCAGGAACTGCAAATTCATTAAGAAGGTCTCCTGTATTTACAGCATCAGTGGAGAGTTAATAACTCCAAATTCCTTTATTTGCCAGAGTAAGACTGTGTGACTATTACTGTACTTTACATAATATAGTTGCTCATGGCTTTTTCTTTCTGTGACCATTTGCAGTTCCTATTGCTCTCCAGGTCAAGATTATTGATTTCACGTTAGATCAGCTGGGCTGTTTCTCTCTGTCTCCCCCAGTGGACCCCCCAAAGGCCACACTGACGCTGCAGCCTGATTGGACAGTACTGTTTCCTGCAGAGTCGCTCACCATGGGCTGCAGGCTGGGAGGAGACTCCAGCAGGAGGCAGTATAGCTGGTACAGAGTAACTGCAGGAGGAACTGAATCAGTACAGTGCCAGTGGGAGAATGGGAAAAACTGTCAGGTTACTTTCAGAGACGAGTCTCACAGCGGACTGTACTGGTGTGAGGCCCAGTCTGGACAAGAACGCAGCAAATCTGTGCACTTCAGAGTGCTGGGTAAGAGATGAAAATAATGCCATAAATACTCTTGATAATAAAAATGTATGAATAATATTCCTTATAATAAACATTTTCAAGGAGTGTGACAAAGTCCTTTGAAGGGGTGATGAAATTGTACTCAATGTCACATGATAAATATTATATTTCTTTATATGCATTACATTTGCAGATGAACTATCTTATTGACACTATCCTGAGGACTGGATGACATCTGTCTCCAAACTGTCCATTAGACTCACTGTCCAGATCTCAAGTGCCACCTTCACTAGTGCTGAAAAACACAGATCTCTGGAGACCACAGACATCAACTCAGCTCCAGACACACAATCTGATAGAGAACATTCCAAATTACTTTAATTGAATTTGTTCCTGCTTCCTTAATGAACATCCCTTGTATTATAATATATGTTGCCCACAATAGCATCAGTGGTCTGTAACAAGTTATCAGAGCCACCATGGGGCAGAAGTACAGTTCAAAACTCAAGCACTGAACTGTAGTTGTATGAAAGTAGAAACAGAACACCAGCTTGACTGCTCGTCCTTCCCCGGCTCACAGCAGAATGTTCTGATATCCTCAGATCAGAGTTTGATCCTGCAGACACCTCCACAGCCCCTGACTGAAGGACAGACGCTGACTCTACAGTGCAGAGAGCGGAAATCACAAGGGAAGAGATATGAGTTTTACAAAGACAACGAAGCCCTGACACCTGACAATGGAAACACAGTGACTATTTCTGCAGTTAAGAAGAGGAATGAAGGGCTCTACAGGTGTCAGAGGTCAAAGGCCAGCTCTCAACCAGTGCTGATCTCTGTCAGAGGTGAGCCGATCCGAAGTACCATC